ATAGTTAAAGATTTGGCCAAGATCCTGATGGAGTGTTTGCAGTCAGTTGCCGAAACTCGGTTGGGACCTGAGCAAACCTGCACTGTGAATGGCTGAACAATTCAGAACAACCTGCATCTGATCCACACGATCATATAGGGTGTAAAAGATGACGATGAAACTGTGCTGATCAATTTGGATCAATCCAAGGCATTTGATAGGGTTGTTGACTATTGCTACCTTGCTGCTCTCCTGCTAGCCACCGGACTCGAACCCAACTTCTGCCGCCGGGAGGCTGTCGGGGCGCTTTTGCGCTGTCTCGGTTGGTTCGTCAGTGTTGTCCACTGTCGCCTCTACTTTAAGCTTTGGCATTGGAGCCTCTCCTTCGCCGGCTAGAGGCCAGGGCATGCAGTCCGGCCCTACGTGGAATTGCTGTCCCTGGAGGAGCTCGAACCAATGTACACTGATGACATACTTTCATGTTGTCCCTCAGCAACATTGAGGTCATACTGAAGGTGCTTGAATAGTACAAAAAGGTGACAGGGACCAAGGTTAACCACAACAAGTCTTTCAGCTTGCAGTTATGTGCCTGGAAGTGTGGTCAATCTTCTGGGTTTCTTTGGTTGGAAAATGGTCCTGTCCGCATTCTCCAGCTGGAGAAAAATTGGTCAGAAGTACAGGCAAAGGTCGGCGTGGAGGCTCGGATTTGGCATCGATGGAGGTTGTCTGTGAAGGGCAGGGTGGAGGTGTGTGCCACATACGTCTTTCTGATTATCCTTTACTGCTTGTCTTTACTTCCTCTCTATAAACAGTATAAGAAGGCACTTGAGTGCTTGCTATCCTCCACTTTGTGGGGGAGGGCACAAACATAAAGTCAACAGAGTAGTCTGTGCACAATATCAGTGTCATGGGGGAACTGGGAATGCTGCACTTGCTGAGTCGCAAACTCGCCTCGAGGCTGGCTTTCCTACACCAATCATCGACAGGAGATTCGATTATGGCAGGGATTGTAAGGGACGCCTTACCTTTCTTTACTATCAGTCCACTCATTTTACAGGTTGAGTGTCATCGTAAACCCCTTGGATCAATTGGATCTCCTTTGTGAGTGTCGATTGGTCCATTCCTCAGTCCAGTGACCTTTCTTGGCCTAGGAGAATCTTCTATCAAGGGTGTTATATTCTGTGCTAATAGGAATATATACTTGAAAAACAAGGTGGATAAAATAAGTAAAAGACCAGTACAATAAGAATAAAGGTAACAGTTATGCACAAGGTCATTGCAAGTCAATCCAGTAGTGAGTGCTACTATTGGAAAGTTGGTAGTTCTCATGTAAGTCTGAGTCATACTCAACAGATCCCAGCTAGACTTTGTAGATACTTATAGGTAGTTACTACCTATAGTGTAGTCACTCATTGGGGTGACTGGTTATTTCATTACATCAGAGGGCTAGTGGAGTGTGTTGCAAAGGTGCTGAAATACTAACTATCAACACACACAAAAGGCTCTATAAATTTAATAGACTATGCTTTGGAATAAAGGTAGCACCAGTGATATTCCAACAGGTGATGAACACCATGAACTTTGCAATAGCATTTCTAGATGATATATTAATAAAAAGTAAAACCCAAGAAGAACATGCAAGACATGTAAATGAAGTTTTCAAAAAATAAAAGAGTTTGGATTTAAGCTGAGTATTGAAAAAGCGAATTTTTTTACCAAAAATCAAGTATTTCGGACAGATTATAGACAAAAAAGGTAGGAGGCCTGATCCTAGTTGTGTGAATAAGAATAATAAAGAACATGCCTGCTCCAACAAATGTATCATCCCTACAATCATTTTTGGGTTTAGCAAATTATTATAGCAATTACATCCCAAAGATGCACACATGAAGAGCACCATTAAACAAACTTCTTAAAAAAGATGTAAAGTGGAAATGGTTGGTCGATTGTCAAAAGGCTTTTGATAACTTAAAAACACAATGACCACTTGAGTGTGTTCTGAGACATCTCTTGTGTCATCAGCCATGACAGCTACAAACAAAGCTTCCCTAATTTCTGTCCTTATCTCCCCATTGTATGTTTGTAGCAGACAGTCATTATCTCATTCTGAATGGTCTTAGAAACATCTTTGAAAACTGTACTGGTTTCTTAGTGATTTTTCAAATCTGGATCTAATTTAGATGCAAAATTTATTAATTCTGCAAATACTACTGGATTTATTGAATCATCTTTTTCATCATGTCCCCATAAGGGAGTTTCAAAATTTCCACAAAATAAAATACAGTCTGTTATTTTGGATAAAATTTCACAGTTCTATTTAAATTCATGTTATACTCATTGATTGAAAGTCTGTATGCCTCATTAACTTTCTCCTTAATATTTACATTTCATAAAAGTGACAGTGAAACCACAATTTCAATATGCTTGTTTGACTTCTCATGTTTTTTCAGTTTTTTCTTTCATTTTGTTTATATTTCTAATTACATCATCTTCAAACAGCAAACACAAGAAGCAAAACAATTGATTTTTCACTTTACAGCTACAGAGCCAACTTTTCCGTTCGTACCATTCAGAATTAAAGCTATGAATATACTTCTTCTTCTTGTTGCTTATTCCTGGCTGAGATATTTGAATATCATGTGTCGAATGGCCTCTTTTCTTAACTGTAATTTTTTCATGGAGAGACAACTGTGAAGACTTAAACTGTTAAAGTTCACTTACAGTCACAAAACTTATTTTTTGGGGATTCAAGGAGGTCATGGTTAAATTATTAAAATTTTCTATACACTGAAACAACCAAAAAAAAAAAAACAATGAATTAAATAGAATATCTGGAGGCTGGATAGTCATCTACAGTTTATCACATTCAAGAATATGGTACACAGATTTAAGCACAACACATGCTGAATCAAAAATAAGCACCAACTTACACTTGGACAAAAGGACCAAGAGCAAGAGTACTTTCTGTGACCAGCGTTCAGTTTCTTTCCTTGGACTTGTGCTCATGCACTCAGCAGCTAAACAGTGCATTACTGGAACTGTGAAGCATACAGTTCCATACAAAGATTTTTGTAATTTTTCATGCATGAAGGCATAGCTACTGACATTAAGCTTAAGGATAATATAATGTACAAGTATAAAGAGAGAATTAAAGAAAAAAAGGGTCATTATATTGAATGTTATCAATAATATCAAGTAAGAATAGGGAGTGCTGCAGCTCCACAGTGCCTATACACAAGCCACCACTGTACATATATATATATATATATATATATATATATATATATATATATATATATATATATACTTAATGTGGAGAAACTTATCACCATCACTAATGGAAAGTGCTCTTCTACAGTAGTAATTTTCTTGTTTCCAAAACACAGATACTTGGACTCTGATATTAATGTAAGTTGTACCTTTTTCACATCTAAACTTCTATTATTTTATTCTTATTTTATGAAATAAATATTTCATAAAATTTCAGCCTGTCATGTATTTTGTTTTCATTCTGTTTTGCCAAAAACATTCTTGGGTCGTTTAATTACCTCTTTAGGAAATATACATACCACATCACTTTAGGAAGAAGTAGATATCATGTTAAATGTTCAGTATTCAGCCATTTTGTAGCATAGTAATGCTAATACCAGTGCATTTCTGTGTCTAAGCTTTAGACACATGCATGCTATAATAAGGTTCAGTTCATTATGGTCTTTTGAGAAGCTGGATGTTAATTTTGGAAAATTGTATATGTTGAACAAGCTCAGTGGTGATTCAATGTTGACAACAGTGGTCAAAAGAAGATTCCCACAACTGAAGATCAGGTTCCATATAACAACAAAGTACAGATGCATGCCAAGATCAACACAGTGTAAGGACAGCAGTGGTAGACTACACAATAACTATGGCAAATATGAGGTGTGTCAATATGGACCACTAGGAACTATTTACTTATAACATGATTATGAACACATATACCTCTAGCATACTTCTACTTACATCACAACACTGTTAAGTATGTCTCCAGTGGCATCACCCAGTGGATCACATGAGACTTTATAGTATTCACTGATGAGAGCAAGTCCTACCTTAACTAAACTGATTGTTTTTCATCTGTCTATATTTCTGAGATGAGGTATTGTAATTATTTACACTATTTATGTTGTTCGGACTGTTGTCCTCATCTTTGTTGTCATATTCACAATGTTTTGGCTGTTGTACACTGCAGCCTTCTTCCAATCCTCTGAAGAAGGCTAGAGCATACAATAGCCAAAACTTTGTGAATATGGAAACAAAGACAAAGATAACAGTCTGAACAATGTAAATATTGTAAATGATTATTTTTTTCAAATATAAAGGTGGCATGATTATAATTCTCGTTTCCTTTAGTCAGTGTTATAGTAAAAAACAAGATCACCAAAATCTTTGTAAAAGTTTTTTAAATTAATTTGAATTAATGATCTTCTACTTGAACAGCTTTTTCCTATTAACTGTTACTTTATATCACTACAATCTTAATCTCTTCAAGCCTAGGGTAAATCATTATCTTTCCCATATATCCTTATAAACTGCGCCTCTTCTTACCGCTCATGCAACAACCTCCTTCTTTTTACTTTGAGTGGCCTTTGGGATTAGTAAAAAAAGAAAAAAAATCCAGTTTGAACTTCTGTCTGATTTATCATCACTTGAAAGTGTAAAACTCTCAAATTCTGGTAGGGCTATCATTGACATGAATGTTTATTTATTTATTTTTTTATTTTTAAAGAGTTTCCGATTTTTTTATTCCTTAACTTGCTTTCGTCCGCGCTAATGAATTAACAAGGGAGTCAATCAAAATTCTTTTTTTCCAAATTATGTCCCCTAACAATAACTTTGCAATGCGCATGCGGATGTTTTGAATTCTCCAGAACGAATGAGCGAGTACTTTTATTGCTCATTGTTTAAAATTGGATGTTTTATCATTAAGCTATTGTATTTTAGCAAATATTGCTCTTCAACAGTGTTATATTTAAGCTTTATAGCGCAGCAATAGGTGATGTACATATTAATTCTTTTGAAACATTTATTTTAATTGTAGATGCCTTGTTGAAAATGAAATATGCCTGTTAGTGCTTCTTACTTGTTTATGGTAACTGATGAACTTCCTCCTGCTTGTAGTTCGTCTGCCTCTATAATTATGGCTCTTATTAACCAGTTCTTTTTGTTAAACCAATTGAAGACTGTTTAAAGATAACAATTTAATTTGGTTATGTTTTATTTATTTTTTTTGTTTTTAGTATTTTCTTTCTCATGACCTCCTTGTATCAGGATATTTTCTGTATTTATCTTCTTGATGTGAACTTGTCTAGCTACGTTACAACTGGTGGTTATTCGAAAATTGTTATGCATAAAAAATAAAAGATAACATTCGCTTTTTATTTTTAAAAGAAATTAAAATCCTGTTGGCTAACTAGAAAATTAAAATACAACTTTCGCTGGTGTTGAAAAATTATTTTTATCTTTGACATTTCCTTTTTTTTTAATCGAACTATTCTGGAATTTTCGTTCGGTTTAAGAAGTTAACTAAAATCAATCTCTACAAGTAAAAAAACGAATTTACAAGACAAGAAGTCTAGTCTAAGTAAAATTGTTTCTTCATATATTTTAAAAGATATTTTAAATTTGAACTTATTACAACTATCAACTTTGATACTAATTTTCAGTCAGTAATAAATGCAGTGGTGCAATAATATTTTTGTCTTCTATGCACATTTAAATCGATCATTTCACTCAAAAAAATAATAATGCATACTTATTGAATTAAATAATAAATTTTTACTCTTTTTGTGTGTGTGTTTTAAAGGTGAAACAACTGAAATGTATAGTGTACGTACTATAATGTAAAATATTTTTTGTTTATTGAATTATTTTGTTGCTCTCGCACGTAATAAGGTTGAATCTGAAAAAAACCCAGCAACACCTTTTAATTTTCCTCGGTGATCGCCTCTTTACTACAATATCAATTTTTTTCAGTTTTTCATTTGAATTGCTGAAGAGTCGATTTGTCAAAAATACACTGAAGCTTAGAAAATCTAGTCTGTTACTTAGATACGCATAATTGCTGAGTTTGGGGTTGATTTGGCAAATTTTATTTACAGAATTATCAAAATTCAGAGTGTTTCTAATAAAAGGTTAAAAGTAAAACAAAAAATGAAAACCTGTTTCTTTGTAACCTTCAACAAATCTCATAGTATCAGTAATTTTAACTTTCTGTAGAAAGATTCACCTGAATGTGAATCTCTTACTTATTATTAACTACACTGAACAGGAAGGAGTTATTTCATTTCTTTTAAAAATAGTCTTTCATCAAGTCTTTCCCTTATGGATGTGCTACTTATCAGCTAGTGTGTACGCGCGCACATAAAAGAATTGTTTATGCAGTTATAATTTTTTTAGTCAGTTCGTTCTTATTCTTTTACTTTAAAATATTTGTTTTAATAAAAATAAATTTATAATCATTAAACTTTTACATATAAATTTAATTTCTATAATAATGTTTGTCTACAGAAGTGATAGTTGTCGCATTCTTATCAGTGATCGATTTTCACAAATAATCGATAACACAAGCCACTGGCATTTAGACTGGGTTCTGTTAAGTGCTAATAATAGTTTTTTTTTTCTTTCGTTTATCCATTTAGAAATGGAAATAGACTTTTTTTTTTTTTTTCACTAATTTTATATTTTTATTCAACCTTCGAATACCATGCTATTTAGCAAAGCATAGTTAACAATAACATTTCATTCAAACTTTTTGCAGGTAGGTATGCTCAAAATGGCGCGAGATGACACCCACGAGAAAAAGAAGAAAAAAGTCCACATTGGATATAAAAATTCAATTTTCATAAACATTGGGTTATCTTATCAGAAAGAAAAAAATCATGAAAATTCTTATGTAAAAAAAAAAAAATGATGTGTACTAATGTAGGATATTTTTGTGTTTTTTGTTTCAAACTAGTTGTTTACTTGAACTAACATTTTTTTAAATGTTGCATACCGCCCTTTCACGTTTTAAAAAGTGTATGGAAAGTAGAATAATTATTGAATTTCATTTAAAATTTTATGGTATTTCGTCAGTGGTTTGTTTATTGGTGTGGGTGAGGGGGCTTTGTAAGACATCGTACTGATATTTTGTTTCTTACGTAAAATAAAAACCAATGTTTTGTTTTTTTAATTCCTGAGTGTTGGGAGAGAAGTTCTACTTTTTTTTTTTTTTTTTAATTTTAAGCAAAATACACACATCGATCAAATCAAATGAACATCTGGCATGGCAATGACAATTTAGATTTTTATTTTATATATTTATTTTTTTTTGTGTAGTTAAATTTTTCTTTTGCATGTTTTCACGATAAAAATGCGTATTTTCAAAGACTGAATTTATTCGCATTTTTTTTATTAAAATCATTAAGCAGCTTAATGATTTTAAGCTCCTTTTATTTTTTCACTACCTTTTGAAAGTTTTTAGCACAAAGATTTTTTTCGTTATTAGACTACTACTTTGATATGAAAGCATTCAAACCCCCAAACTTTAAATTTCGTCTTCATTTGCGAACAATCACGCATTATTGTTGAATGTTGAGGGAAGGATTTTTTTCTCTCGCAAAAAAACAAAACAAAAACACCTTTCTTTATGTTCTTAATCTTCTGGCGGTTTTCCCGGAGGAACGATATTTAACAATTTTTTTTTTTTTTTATTCACACTCAATAGAAGTAAAAATAATAAACTAGAAAAAGGAGATTGTCTTTTGAAATAACAGCCACATTATCATGAAATGCCAAGTGGAGAAACGTTTTAGCAACTGTCAACTCGCAATTGATTGATCCATTCCATCACAACACTCATTTTTTTTTATTATGTACCCTCGCTACCTTCCTCTTTTATATGTGTTGTTGAAAATGCTTAGTTAAAAACTTAAAAGCTTCCATTGCATATACTTCCAAAGATTCGCTAAATCGTCAAACTTGAAATCTTTGTTATTAAGTAGACTAAAAAAAGGATCATTTAAAATAAATTATTTTTTAAATCCTTTTTAGAACCTTCGAAATTTTGGTTAAAAACATTTGTTTTTCTTTCAACGGGTGACCATAAATTTGTATGGGAGATTTGAGCAACTTTTGCAGTGAAGAACAGTAACACATTGATTTGGAAATTCTTACAAAAAAGTCAAATTTTAAATGAGACTTTCAGAATTTATTCACAAAATAGCTTTTTTTTTTTTATGAAAAAGATATAATCATGGACACCATTTTTTAAAAATTCGATGAATAAATTTTAATTTTTATAAGAATTGTTTTCTTTTCATTTTTTTTAAATTTTAATTAAAATAATTTATAAAGTTTTAAAATCTTAAAATTCTGTATTATTGTAGTGGTCAACAAATGATAAATTATTGGGACTAAGTATAAACTAAAGACAGAACAAGAACAAGTTTTACCAGGAACTAGAATAATTATGAATAAAATAAACAATCAAAAAATAGTACTTAGTCCTTGCCTACGCATTTCGTCATTTGACTATCAATTGGTTTTCTCTATAGACAGACATATTCTGAGAACTTTAACACATTGTTGACATGGAAAACAAGAACACACACTTGGTCAAAAAAAAAAAACTACTAATATCGAAAAAGGCTTGTTGTACAGAGCATCTTTTAAAATCTTTGAGTTTCATTCATTAACTATGCAACATTTCGCTTTCGTTTTAAGTTTATCATCACTTGATGAAGTCAAATGACGAAATGTGTCGACAAGGACTAAGTATTATTTTTCACTTGTTTTATTTTATTCAATTTGTCTTCTCTACAGATATATTCTGCGAACTTTTTAGCATATAAAGCAGACTGCAGAGCATCTAAAGAAATTTTCCAATGTTCATCTTCCTTCACTGATAAAATATCATAAATGTAACATTTCCTTTCCATTCGCACCACAAGTTTTCAATTGTGTTAAATGTTTGAACAGGCTGATGATGTCATCAAAATAATGTCTTTGAAGATACGTATTCATTAGTTCTTTTTGCTGAATGTAATGGAGTGTTATTCATTATCATCCTATTTTGAAAGATCACACCACACCACCTGTTCTTCTTTGACATCTCAACTTGCAAGTGTGATTTGTCAGTAGCCACTCAGCCTGTGCTCCATTAGTCTAGTCCATCAAACAGTTGAATAATATAAAATTTTAATTATATAATATAAAAAAGTAATGGAAAGCCAATGGTAATCTCTCAAATTGTTTAGTCTCAGAAAATACATGACTGACTTTTCTGTGATTAATTGCTCTCTTTATTCATTTGAACATAGGATGGACAGAGAAGTCAGGTTAATAATGTGAATTCCTTATTTCAAGTTATCTGTTTTGAATAAGGGACAAGATTCTTATTTGAAATCTAGACTCTACTATCATGGTTATAACATCTCCACTCCACAGTCAATAGACAAAAGATGAGCAAACAAAAAATGTCCAAATATATAATATCTCATGATCAACAAAAACCATGTAATAGATGTGTATTTAAGCCCTATTTAAGTTTCTGTATATTGTTTTCATTCAACCATTCTTTGAAGATATTAGCCAAAACTTAATCTTTGCTAGGCCACGTTACTACATTAAAACTCAAATATCTTCCAAATATTAAAAAAAACTAAGAGGATTATTCAGTCAAAAATAATGATTGCTATTCTGATTTGTGAATATTTATGTACTTTTTGTTTAAAATATCTGAATAGGTCAAATAGGGGCATGGATGACATCTCAGCTGCTCAACAAAAATTTACATCACTGAGGACAAATTATTAACATTTCACTGCTTTACTTTTTACAATACAAGTACTGTGATAAGAAATATACACAATGTACAATATATGATTTTTTTTAAAAATCTGCACAAAAGAGCATTATAATTTTCTTGGGTATTGTTTAATTTCATGGCTAATAGGAAAAATAAAAATTCTGTTTTGTTACTGTTAAAAGGAAATCAGCTTTTAGAAGTTTCTT